CTCTATAAGCAAAATTACACAGGACTAGTGGGAACCTTCAGAGAACTTTGTACTACACTAGGAAAGCTCTGGACCCATTCTGGCTCTCCAAGCAAGAGAAATCCAAGATACTCACCTAAGTGAATGCAAAGGCATGTCTTCAAAAGTCACTTAGTTTTATATTCCTTAAGCAGGAATTTTTGAACCAGAAACCCAAGAACACTATAAAATATTTACATATGATGATTTATAGGAGCCATTTCTTTTTCTGAAGAGAAAAAAATGTTGCTAAAAGGCAAGAGAAATGTTTACAAAGTAAGGCTTTTTGTTTTATTTATGAGTCTCCTAAACCAAAGACTAAAGCATTTGATTATGAAAAGGGAATGGGGAAAAAAAAGAAATGAGAGTAGGGGGAAGTGGGGGTGGAAGGAGTAGTAAGGAATGGTAAGAAGGAGGAAAAGAAATTAACCAATGATTGCCACAGTTCCAATTATTCAGTACTACAAATTCTAAGCTTAGAGCTCATCCAACTAAGAAGCGATTTGTGAGAAAGATAAGAAAACAATTTTTGGCAAGAATTTCAAGAATGAAGTTGCCTTCCTCAGTAATTTTTATAAATAGAATGATATCTAAAAACTTGATGAGATCAGAAATAGGAATATAAATTTTAGTATAAATATACATAAAATGTGGAGAGTTTTCTAAACTTTAGCCCAGACCTTTTGTGCTTTTGTAAAAACTATAGCCCACACATAACCTAAAAAGCATTGTTTGAACAATTCTATGATTTAAGATGTTATGATTCCTTATTAAAACTGACATAAAAAAATGACATCATCAGATTGAATTTATTACTTTCAAATTTTGCCAAGTACATCAATGGGTTCAGACATCTTTTAGTTCATCTATCTCCTAGGTCAATAACTCAGAAAGAAGGCCATTTACATGCACCCCTAAACTTTTCCACATCTTGCTAGGAGAGCTTTCTCATGCCCCACTATCCTTTAGCTTCAGAACTGTTCTTCTGACCCACCAGGGCAAAAGAATATAACATTTGTTCCATAACCAGGATCTGCAATTCAGTCACAAATCTTCTAACTTGGTGAAGCTGTATTAGCTTTCTTTTCAATAGTACATGACCTACTTTAATCTTATGAGCCAGTCTCAACTGCTCACCTTACCCAGGGCCTGAAAATGCTGAGGCTGCTTGCTGTTTACTATGACTATAAACCTGCACAGTATTTCCACATTTGTCACTACATAACGAACTTTGGAATTACATAACAAGTCTCATTTAAATCCAATTTCCTTCATACTTCCTTAAGAATATACACAGATAAAAGTACGCCATCTGCTATGTCTCTGCTGCTCTCTACAGGGAAGTAGTTAGGCAGGCATTGCTAACATGAGTTACAGGAAAATGACTTTAATGCTAGGGTGCCGTCTACTGGAGAAAATGGAAATTAATGATTTGGATTTATTAAGGGTCCTGAAAGAAAGCATTGCAGAGATGAGAGGATTTAGATCTAGAATGGTCCTGAGAGATCACCCAGGCCAACTCCCTCATTTTAATGAGGCCCAGAGAATTTAGGTGAATTGCCCAGGGCCACAGAACCAGGAAGAGAACACAGGTCTTCTGACCACAAATTCACTCTTTCCACTATAGCACATCACTCATGAGACACCCCCACACACCCTGCTGTCCCAAAAAGAGTGTCACTGCAACTTTTGATTCATATTATGTATGAATGTTCTTCAAGAAATTCAGGTGCTTCACACAGTGGAGGAACAGTGGGAAATGGGAAGGTGAGAGGGAATGAATGAATCTTATTCTCATAGGATTTGGCTTAAGGAGGGAATAACATACACACTCAATTGGGCATGGAAATCTGTTTTACCCTACAGGAAAATAGGGGGAGGAGGGGACAAGAGAGCAGGGGGGTAATAGAGAGGAGGGCAGATTGGGAAAGGGGTTAATCAGAAGCAAACACTTCTGAGGAGGGACAGAGTCAAAAGAAAGAATAGAATAAATGGGGGGGCAGGACAGGATTACAGGAAATAGAGTTAGTTTTTCATAACATGTCTACTATGGAAGCGTTTTGCATAACTACACACGTATAACCTATATTGAGTTGCTTGCCTTTTCAATGAGAGTGGGTGGGGAGGGAGGAAGGGAGAAAATTTGGAACCCAAAGTTTTAAAAACACATGATTTAAAAAAAATGTTTTCACATGCAACTGGGAAACAAGAAAATACAGGAAATGGGGTACAGAAATTATCCTGCTCTACAGGAAAGTAGAAGGGGAAGGGGATAAGAGAAGGGGGGGAGAGATAGAAGGGAGGGCAGACTAGGGGAAGGGATATTCAGAATGCATGCCATCTTGGGGTGGCAGAGGGGTGAGATGCAGTGAAAATTTGGAACTCAAAATCTTGTGGAAGTAAATGTTGAAAACTCAAAGTAAATAAATTTTTAAAAAATTCATGTGTCTATCTAACACAGCCCACTACAATGTTATTCTTGAGGTCTGTACAGTGGAACTACTTGCTAATTCAATGACCATCCCTTCCTGAGTCAGGTTCCAAACACAGCCCTGCAGGTACAATACTGAGCTGTACAAACAGAGTTAAAATGAAATTATAGCACAGAGGTTCTTAACCTTTTTTGTGTGATGGATTCCTCTAACAGTCTGGTAAAGATCATGGACTCCTCTGGCAGTCTGGTAAAGACTATGGACTCCTTCTCTGAATAATGTTTTTAAAAGCATAAAATAAAATACACAGGATTACAAAGGAAATCACCATACTGAAATATTATTGTCAAAATAATAAATTTTTTAAAAAGAAAATTCATGGGTCTCTATTTAAGGACCCCTGTTCTAAGTATTACCTCATAGGCTCTTATAACAGCTTCATAACATGAAAGCAGGGAGGATATATGGCAAAGCACAAACCATACAAGATAGTAACAAGAGAGCTGAATCTAAATCCTAAATCCTCTCTGTGTGACCTTAACATATTCACTCTCTGGAATCCAGATTCCTATTTAGTAAAAATGAAAAGACAGGGAGGGATAAATGATCTCTATGGTCCCATCTACTACTGATACTCTATGATTCCTAGAGCAATTATTCCTAATTTAAAAATGAAGACCTAAGTACAATACAAGGGAATATATGAAGTCCTGCTGCAAGTCACTGGGAAGCTAGAACCCCAGTCTCCTGACTTTCAGTCCAAGACTCAGTCAAGCAGAAAGGAAACCAGCCTAAAATTCAGGCCCAGCTCTGTCATTTATTACCTGTGTGACTTTGAATAAGTTAGTCCCACCTCTCTTTATCTACAGGCAGCTAAAAGGAAACCAGCCTAAAATTCAGGCCCAGCTCTGTCATTTATTACCTGTGTGACTTCGAATAAGCTAGTCCCACCTCTCTTTATCTACAGGCAGCTAGGTGGTATAGTGAATAAAGCGCTAGGCCTACAATCAAGAAGACCCGAGTTCAAATTTCACCTCAGACACAGAAGCCAATCCAAGCCTTTAAAAAGCAGGTAAAGAAGATGAAAAACAAGGACAGAGAATGAATAACAAAAATAAAAACATTGGCATAGTCACAGGTAAGAAGTATTAGGAGAACTAAAACTCCAGATAAGCTGAGGATAACCATCAACACTAAGAAGAACACAAAGGACTTCTTTCCTGCTATTTTGGAAGCAAGGGGAAAATGAAAAGGGGGTAGCGAGCCCACAGACTATTTGGGTTGATGGAATGATGAGGACGCATAACAGAGAAAAGGGAGCACTATTCTCTCTGATTCTTTTGGAAGTAACATGGAACAACCTCTAAAGTGAGAAGAACAGAACAAAAAATGGTTAAGAAGTAAAACCCAAGATAAATGAGAAGATAAGGGATTGCAGAGCTGCCATCAATGAGTTCTGGACACCAGGTCCACATGAACTTCGCCTCAGAGGAGGGAAAGATGTGACCAATGAGCACTGTTTGTGATCTCTGCAAACTATACAAGAAACAGAGGCACTACCTCCAACCACAGCTTGAGCAGGGCTCTGGAAGGGTACACTGAATTAAAAAAGGAAAAAGATAAGGAAAAGGGAATGGACAGGGCAGAATTACATATTAAGAAGATGCACACAACTGAAGAAATCTAGGAAAAAAAGAAGGGGGAATATGATGAAGAACATCTGGGCGAAGATCAACGGAGGCAGAGACAAGTTGATCACACTGGACCATACATCAGATCACACTGAGGCTGCACATCAGATTACACTGGGGCCACACAAACGGAACAAGGAAATAAATGAGGACTTCTAGAAACTCATCACATGGAATTCATGTTTGGCCTGGGAAAAAACCAATGACAATTTTTCCTTTATGTTGTAGAAAAGATTCTTTTCCAGTTAGATGACTGTTGAGGTTCTTTACAACTCTGAAATTTTATGATTCTAAGATTCTTTTCCATTGTCAGTCAGCTGTTCACTCCTCTTCTTTTGAATTTTTGTGATTCTTAAAAGCAGTATGCCTGTATTGATGTCTGAATTTTGAAAATGTTGTTAAAAGTCAGTTCAACTATTAATAAAAATGGTTTATTTCTACTAACATTTATGAACAAATTTGGATTTTGCCCCAATTTCTGGTTAATCTGCTATGTGGAGGGGGAATGTGGAACATTTAAACTGCACTTCACCTTTAGGTCAATAAAGTGACCTAATACAGTTGGATCAATGTTACAACTAAGAATTTAGGTTCTAAACATCCTGCAGAGGTCCTGTCTTCCCAGGAATCTATTAAGGCTGAATATAGTAAGGCCTTTTCTTGTTTCCGTGGTTTCTTTAGATTTAAACCAGGTAAAACTCAGGGGGAACAAAAGAACTTAAACCCTAACTCCAAGATGACAGCAGGGGGAGAGAATTTACTTGTCAACAAACACACAGGACAGAAAACAATTAAGTATATTGATTTTTTGAAAAAAGATTAATTTATATTCCAATATTGAAATGAAAAATATACTTACTTGAGAAAAGTCGTGTTCTCTCTCCTCACTAGTCCGAGGACTGCTGCTTGCACAGGAAATACAGTCTGATATTTCCACAGCACTCTCATTTTCTCCAAATTCAGGACATTCATTATCACCACCTTCTTCACTATTACTATCATTCTCCCAGTCAATGAATTGAGGCTCACCTGACAATACAAATTACACTAAATTACAATGAACTGTAATTTCAACTCTATAAATACCTACATAGATTTTATTCAACATTGAGGAATGAGCTAAAATAGTCATTTCGTATAGCGATAGAGCTGGCCTAGAATCAAGAGGACCTGGATTCAAGCACTGCTTCTATCACTTCAAATAATTTCAGCTCTCAGTGACTCAGATAATTCAAATGATCTAAGATGGAGGAAAGTTGCCAATATACATTTATAGAAAGAATTTTCTAAGAGTACTTTACACTAAAGAAATTACTGATGTAGTAAGTGAAGCCTAACTGGGCGTGATCTTTGCAAAATTTCGTTAAATTAAAATTAGATATTTTAATCTTTCAGATAACACACAAGTCGCTCAAACATGACAAAAAGTATTCAGAAGCCACCACTTAAGAATACTCAGGACACTTGCCACAGGACAAGAACAAGAGGGCTAGAAATGAGGGCAGTAGTTGTGTGTCAGGGGTCACCACACATACCCTGAGTCACCCCATGTGGCACACAGCCAACACTGAGAAGTGGCAGGGAAAGACTTTGCACTGAACTTGGAGTTACAAGACTGGAATTTGAATCTCTGTTCTGCCATTTACTTCCAGAGTAATCTGGGGCAAGTCACTTAATCTTTATAGACCTCATTTTGCTCATCGCTTAAATGAAAGGGTTAGAATAGATGATTTTTGTGGTTATGATCCCAAATCTTCCCAAGTTCTTTCTAAGACAGGAAAACCTGCACTGTCATTTTCTTTCCATAGAATATCCTAAAGGAATTCAGAAAATCTAAAACAATATAATCTACTGAGCAGTTGATCAAAGGATGTTTGGGAACAGGAGTTCCCAAAAAGAAGAAACACAAATTATCAATAACTACATGAAGAAGCATTCAAATGCAGAGAAATATAACTCCAAGTTACACATTTGAAAAGATCATTTTTGCTCTAAATCACTATTGATTAGAGAAATGCAAATCAAAACAATTCTGAAGTATCAAATCACACCTATCAGATTTACTAACATGATAAAACAGGAAAATGATAAATGTTGGAGAAGATGTGGGAAAACTGGAACATTACTGCATTGCTGATGTAGTTGTGAACTGATACAACCATTTTAGAAAGCAATCTGGAACCACACCCAAAGGGCTATAAAAACATGCGTACCCTTTGACCCAGCAATAGCACTTCTAGGGCTGTATCCCAAAGAGATCATAAAAATAGTGAAAGGACCCACAGGTACAAAAATATTCATTGCAGCTCTTTTGGTGATGGCAAAGAATTGGAAATTGAGGGGATACCCATCAACTGGGGAATGGCTGAACAAGTTGTGGTATATGAATGTAATGGAATACTATTGTGCTACAAGAAATGATGAGCAAGCAGACTTCAGAAAAACCTGGAAAGACTTCTATGGACTGACGCTGAGTGAAGTAAGCAGAACCAGGACAATGTTGTACACAAGTAACTGCCACGTTGTGTGATGACTAACTTTGATGGACTTAGCTCTTCTCAGCAATGCAAGGATCTAAGACATCTCCAAAAGTCTCATGATAAAAAATGCTATCAACAGCCAGAGAAAGAACTATGGAGTCTGAATGCAGATTGAAGCATACTATTTGCTCTTTTTTTACTTCTGTTTTGTTTTGTTGCCTCTTTCTTGTGGTTCTTCCTATCGGTCCTAATTCTTCTTTACATGACAAATTTGAAAATATGTTTAATAGGAATGTATATGTATACCCTATATCAGATTGCATGCCGCCTTGGGAAGGGAAGGAGGAAAGGAGAGAAAATTTAAAACTCAAAAGCTTATGGAAGTGAAAGTTGAAAACTAAAAGTTAATTAATTAATTAAAAAGAAAAGACCACTTTTAAAGCTATAAATTGTAATGCTAGTGCTATTATAGAAAAACAAGCATGATATTGCACTAGCCTTGAAAATCTAAAATGATACAATTTTATTTTGAAACAGCAAGATCTGGCAACTGATTAGATATGTTAAGTGAGGGAAAATGAAGAGATTAAGTATAACACCAAAGTTGCAAACCTAGGTCTGGGGTTTGGCGAGGGGTGAGTGGCAGCAGTCCAAGGGAGTGAGGTGTTTGAGAGCTGATGATAGTATGGAGTTAAGAAAGTTAACTATACGGTTGAGACTAGGAAGAGAAGAAAGTGAAGTTGGAACTAGAATAATGGCCTAAGAAACTACAGAGGGGTAGAAGTCATGATGATGGTGAAGAATAAGTTTAAGAAAGATGAGGCATAGTGACAGATGAAATGATAGGAGAATATGATCCCAAAGAAGGTCAAAGTTTTTGACTAAGGAATTGGAAAACTCATGATTAATGGTGGGATCCATGGTATGACCATCCCGTATATGGCTGAGGTACAGTAAAGGAAAAAGTCATGGATTTAAGGAGACTGAGAAAATGGGAAATTAAGGCATTTGAGGGAGCATCAACATAGTTGCTGAAATCTCCTAGTATAAGGCAGGAATTGGGAAGGAGAAGAGAACAGTGAGCCAAAGGTTAAACTCCCCCCAAAAAGAGGGAAAATTACCTGGGGGTCCAGTAGAACAACAACCACTTAGTGTGGATAATTGTCATAATATATTAACTTCAAAGAAGGATATCTTCTACATGGAGAGAAAGCATGGTATAGTGGATAGGGATCCAGCCTTAAGAGTCAGGAGGATCAGAGTTTAAGTCTTGCCTCAGATAAAGTCTGACCATGGGCAAATCACATAATTTCTCAGTTCCCCAAGCAACTCTCTTAAGATAGTCGCCACTGGTGAGAGGAAGTTCCCATATTGGCAGTTTCTTATGCTGATAAATTAATAGGTCTGTAACTCACCTCAGCCAATCCTCTCCACACCCCCCCCAAAAAAAAGCCTGTCTCATACAAATGGATTTTCCAGAAAAATACAATCTACTCTTTTAAGTAGAAAAAATGTTAACTTTAGCCATTTTTTATTGAATCCAAAAAGCATTACATAATTACATGCTTTCTTAAGGATAAGAAAGTATACTGAACATAATATAATCTTTTCCTGACGATGGGATAATATCATGGCCCTCAATTATTGGTCTTTAAAGTGGTATAGTAGTTTTTCCCGAATTTTCTTTTGCTATCATCTCTTACTTCTTTAATCAGTACCTCTATACTTTACTTTCAGCACTCCTCCATTCTGATTTGCTGCCTCAAAAGTACTAAGGTTTAAGAAACCAGAAAACCAAGGTTGCTAAAACTTTGTATAAATTAAAAGATAATAAAAGTCTGAGTGATGACCTTAGGGACTTTCCTACACAGTCAGGCATACTACCCAAAGCACATAATCATTTCAGCACTCTCTTTTGCTTACTTTCTAGTTCTCGGCCGTGTTCCAAGAAAACTGAAGTTGCAGGTTGTCAAGTATCTACCTCCTAGGCAAATGAGAAATTGCCCAATGTTTCTGATAGTTTTGTTGTCATTTAAAGTTGTCTGCATTTACATGGTTGTGACATCTGTGTCTTTCTTTTAGTTCTGTTTTGCTCAATGTATTATTTCATAAAAATCTCCTCATATTTCAATGACTATTTCATATTCATTGTGACCTACAGCATTATTTTATTTTCCCCTGGTCATCACCCATTCTTCTTATTCTAGAGGCATGTATTTTTTGTACAAAAGCTTTTTATTTTTATATAGTCTACTCTGCCTTTTATAATATTCTTTCTGTCACCGAGGATTACAAATTCATCCCTTTCCACATGTGTGAGAGATAGCTGGTGGAACAGGGAAAAGAAAAAGTAAGATAGCTCAGTTACCATAAAACTGTAGTTAGAGACAAGAAGACCTGGTTTCAAATCCTGCCTCTGACACCTTTAAGACTAAGTTATAGACAAGGTGAAAGTTGATCTGGTAGAGTCTGACAAAATCATAAGGACTTAATATAATGACATACAAAGGCAAAGGAACAATCCAGACAATGCAATCTGGGACAATTTGAGGAAAGCAAAGAATACTTTCAAGTTTAAAACCATCTTGATCAGGCCACATGAAAGAGAAGTCATAGCATCTTAAGGTCCATGACATACAAGGGGGGAGAAAGCTACGTGGTATAGAAGGAAGAACATGGAATTTGGTGTCAGGAGGAATGGATTCAAGTCCCGCCCGACATTTAGCCATGTTTATCTTACGCAAATCACCTCCCTGAGACACAATTTCCTCATCTGTGTAATGTGGATAGCAATTTTTAGACAATGTAACTCACAAGGTTGTTGTAAGGAAAGTGCTGTATAAACCTAGAAGCACTATAGAATTGTGAGCTATTATTAATAGTGTTAAAGTCAGGTATAGGCTGGCACACACCTAGATGTGGGTACAGCAGATTTCAAAGAGTTCAGAGAATGGATATTAAATCATGGTCTATAACTCAACAGAAAAATCATTGATAATAGCTAGCTAGCATTTATATAGCGCTTTAAAGTCTGCAAAACACTTAACAAATATTATCTCATTCTATCTTTACATCAATTCAGGAAGGTAAGTACTATTATTATTCCCCCATTTTAGAGATGAAGAAACTAAGAGTGGGAGGAATTAAGTAAGTCACATAGCTACTAAGTGTCTGAAGCTGCATTTGAATTCAGGCCTTTCTGGATCCAAGTCTAGCATTAACTAGCTGCCTCCAAGCTGGCTTAAGATGGGTACAACATTCTCAAAAAGAGAATTATGAAGGCATAAACACTAATGCTCCTGATAAGGAATAAAAAAGCTACCTGAAGAGAACAATATTGATGTAACAAAGAACCCAGCAACTAACTCAGATTTTAAAAAATGATTTACGAAAGCCAGGTGACTGAGGATAAATAACGTGTGACAAGCTCCTACAAGAATAATTTCAAAAACACTAAATCCAAGAACAAAGCGGCATTTGCAATAAATGCTCAAGACAACAAAAACTGTTTTAAAGCTATGTTATAGTTAAGAGGAAAAAGAAGGAATG